GAGGTGGAGGAGGAGGAGGAGGAGGAGGATGGAAATACAGAGTAGAACAACAGCACAGGTGTGATGTAGGATGTACTATATTGCAGTAACAATGATACGCAGGAGCACGTGTGAAGCGTGTGTGAAGAACATGGAACCTTCACACACTTTCGTTGTATCACGCAATTCTGAATCTCATGAGAGTTGGCAAGGTTGTTGGTTTCGCCGCTTCTTAGACCATGGGTCCACAATGTACTTAGAGCACTGAAGATCCCGGCTGCAAACATTACACGCGAAATGTACATGCTTAGGCTGCTCCTCACCAGTGCCAACACCACATGTGAGATGCGCATGCTTGGGATGTGCTCCTGACCAATTTGTCAAAACCGGTGTCCCTCTGATGACTGAACTCTGTGAGAATTCCCTATGCATCACTCGCCAACGTACACCTCATCAGCCTCTACAACTGAGCTAAGCTCCGGTGCCACAGGCAGGCATTACTGAAAGTCCCAGAGAGGCAACAACTGTAGTAACTTCACCACATCGTCAGTCTCTTCCGCTAGCAACCTCGACACACATAACAGAGGAGGGCGGCCCGAGTGATGGTCAAAGCTTGGTCGATGGCTGTGGATAACGTCGTCGTGTCAAAAGCGCCATTGAAGAAGGCTCGAAATCTTCGGGGTGTTCTCACCTGCAGGTGGGTTCTTACGTGTCTTGGACGCTCGTCGGTAGTCTGTATCTACAAGGCTATGGAGACCATAACAACAGCAGCATGTCAAGGATATTTTTTGTTGTTGAACGCGAAAGACTGCAGGTTGCTAAAAACACAGCAGCAAAAGGGAAGCAACAAATGAATGGGGTCTGTCTGGCCCTGTACCGTTCGCACCTCTTGCCTGATGCTCCTGATTTGATCATCACGGCAAATACTCTATAAAGAATACTGTCAACATCCGTTTCGGGGTCTGTTCAGGCAGCATGTACAACAACTCTACAAATCGTCCCAACTATTGTGGACGTCGGTCCTTACACCTTTTCGGTGCACTTCTCGACGCCCCGCACACAAGGTAAATACTTCAGCACTCGAGCACCTTTTCTCGGCATCAGACCAGGTCGTCACCACCTCCCACCTCCCAACTCCTTCTACCGCAAGGTGCCCCTCATGCTGTCAGCAGCGGCTCCAACCCCGCTGCCGTGCGCAAGCTCGAGGACACATCTGCCAGGTGCCTCATCGTCGGGCGCCCGTGTGGGCAGTTCCAGGGCTGCTCGATGGTGGCCATCTTCGCCACCACTCGCGCCATCTGCCCCTTGTCCAAAGCCTTCCCGATCATGAACGAGCTCCGGCAGGCGCGGCTTGCGAACATGGCGCGTGCCTTCGGGAGTCGCACCATCTCTCCGGGGTTGGTGTTGTCCGCCACGATGGAAGCCAGCTCGTGGACGTCGTCCACACCGAACTGCGTGCCCTTGCTGAAGGGGATCGCCGTGATCTTGAGTTTTTTCGTTGTGGGCTGGTCGTCGTCGATCTGCGCAACACAAGGACACAGACGGCCGGGTAAAAAAAAATCGAAAAACCCCCTCGAAACTGTGGCTGATCTGCGCTAAGGTCGGTCACACGAAGGCAAAGCTAAGATGATAAACACTATTGCTGCACTCGACGGAAGGGGAAGTGTTTGAATGCCGTCATGGAAAATGGAGAACGCTCGCCCGCCATGCGGCAAATATGAGGAATCATGAGGGCGTGCTAAGTTGTCCCTCTCACCGTGAAGCGGAAACCGTTCCTCTCGAACAAGGCGATGTTGTCTATGATAGTCATCTCCTCGGAAGCAGAGGTCTCGAGAGGTAGAGGCCTGCGGGCACAAAAGGCAGACGCGCACAAGCACATTTTTCAAGACGATCTGCCTCCACCTTCTCAGCCGCTTAACACTCTCTTCATTCGCACACAGGTGTTAACAAAGACAAACACACAACCGCGCGCGCTTGCGATCTGGTGCTTGGAATCACTTCAAAGTTTGGTGCGAGTCTCACAAGTAGACTATGCTTAGGACAAGCGCATTATGGACTCGCGTGGACGTATTCATCTACTAAACCACAAAGAGTGGAGCCCGAATAATTCCGACATTGGTACTTGATTGCCCCCGGTAGGATTGATTACCGAAGCATTCGCAAGATTCGGGCTGGAATGCCGGAAACGTCGGCCGGGAACTACCGCAAACACCCACGCCATCCCAGTGCTGCAATTCGGGTTAAAGCTCCAAGGTACCAAATGCTTTACTCGGGGTGCAAGAGCGTTACTTACGTACGGTGCACCAGGCCATGCGAGCGACGCACGATAGCCTACCTGACAAGAGGCTGCTGATGGATGGTGGTGGTTTGCTGAAGCACCTCGAAGTTGTACTTCTCGTCACAGGCGTGCTGGTCCAAGATGAAAAGATCTGAGCCCAACAGGCAGATCATGAATCCCAAGTTGAACTGGCCAACCACACGCATCTCGGCGAAGTGCTCCTGCATTAGCAACCAAAAATAAAGAGTAGGCGTAAACGATGGAGAGAAAAAAAAACATGCGCGAGAAGTATACCTTGGCTGTACTTCTGCATAGCATGGAGCAAAGCACGACCCGCGGTTTGAAAGAGCTATGAACATGGCATCCCTCACTCTGGCACTACAGCAACACCTGATGAAGAGCCCACGCTAAACGACTGCCGATAGCGAACTCGCAAGGTGAGCTCATCCTTACCAGCGACACGTGACAAAAACACACTTCGACCACCATACAAATTCCTGTCGGCCGCCTCGTTCTGAAACACTATTTCGCTTCACCCACCTTGTGCAAAACCCTTGAAAACGCTCGCGCTGCTGCCTGTGAGTCTCGGTCCTTCGCACCGCAACCAGAGAGCTTCGCAGAGAACGAGTCCGCGGAGGCGTTCCGGGCGTTTCGCTTTCGCGTCAATCGAGACGCCCTGCGGCACCCTACGAGGATGCTCCGCATGTCATACGCGAGGGGTTGGCAAGCGGCACCGCTGCTGGGCTCTCGTCTTGCGCCAGGAGTTTTGCCCCCCTCGGCAGCGGCTGGGAGGTGGCCGCCACGAACTGAGCTGTCCCTCTCGGGGACCCCCTCTTTCGGGCCCTGCGTGCCTTCGGGACTCCGCTGTCTCGAGCCCCCGTCCACATCGCCGTGGTCCTTGGCAGGTGTCGCATTGCCGCCTTGCCCTTCTTGTACGCTCGCCGCTGCTTTGCTGCTAGCGCGGCCCTCGCCGACCCCGTCGTCACTCTCCGCAACAGCCCCGCGGTGGCGTTTCGGGTTGGAAGGGCTTGTCGACCGCTGCCGGTCTTCGCCTTCGCTTCTCACGAGGTCGGGTGATCGCGTCGCCCCCGCCGGCGCATCAAAGTCGCGAGCCCTGCGCTTTCTGTCCTCCACGTTCTTCGTCCTTCTTTCTCTCTTCATCCCCTCCGTTCCTCGCGAGTCGGTGGCACCGCCGCCGCTTTCGCGACGTGTTTCCACCACTTCCACACGGTCCTTGGTCCCCTGGTTCTTGGAACACCCCCCGGAAATGGGCTCCACCTCGCCCTTGCCAACGGAGGCTTCTTCT